GGAGGACGTGCCCACTCAGTGGCTCCACATGGAAGTTCAGGGGCATCTCAGTCTGTACAAGTCCGATTTTACTCACTGGGTTTTCTGTTCTCTCCAAACTGTACCTGCCTATCCCTTCAGACCTTCCTGTCTGTGGTGGATGACAGCTGGCGGTCAGCTTGTAACCCCCAGCTGACCTGAGCGTGGTGCTGGGTCCCACCTGGGGACTGTTGCCAGCAGCATAAGAGGCAGAACTGGAGAAGGAGAAGTAAGACCGTTGGGAACTGAGGAAGGCTGTGGAGTGCTGTTGGAAGCTGTAAGGAGCTGCTGGTTCTCTTGCAGGAGCTCGTCATGCCGGCTTCCCGATGGGAACTCAGCTGTCCTGACTATAGGAGGAGCTCAGGACCTCACTGTTGCTGAGGACGGCTGTGGTACTTTTCAGGGGAGCTCTGGTTCTTACTTTGCACATCACTTCCTGGCTCCAGGGCAGATTCCCCAGCCGGCTAGCACAGATCCTTCATCCCGCTGGCACAGACTTTCTAGCTTCCACCACCGACGTTTGGGCCTTTGCAGCGCAGATCCGTGAAACAGGCCTGCATGAGGCATTGTTGTGGGCTTTAGGTCTCCAGCTGGACTCATGCGAGCCATTGTTATGGGCTCTAGGTCTGCAGCCGAACTCATGCAGGGCATTACCGTGGGATCCAGGCCCTCAGCTGGATTCTTGGGTCTTTAGTGTGTGGGTAGATTTTCTGCACTCTCTTGTATATGATTCTTTGGGTGACTATTATAAATAATCTTATAAACTATATGTCCTATATTATATTATTCCCCTTGCAAAAGCCCAAACCACGACACTGTTTAAAGTTCTTCTCTTCCCCTGCCTCCTCCAGTCTGGAAAGACTGCTTTCCTTCAGAATCCCAAGGTTTTGTGCTTTCCTGTTTCACCAGATGAAAACTCCCTCCTCATTTCTATTCCTGCTATCACTTTCTGAACAATTACAGTAACTTTTTTTTTTTTGAGATAAGGTCTCTTTGTACTTCAGCCTGGCTTTGAACTCACAGGGATCCTCCTGCCTCAGCCTGTCAAGCCCTGAGATTACAGGTGCTCACCACCATGGCTGGCTCTGCAGTAACTTCTCAATTGCTCTTTTTGTCTCCAAACTGACTTCATTCTGCTGCCGAGGTAACTTCTTACAACACTAGTGAAATCATGATACAGACGGTAGTACTATTTCACACAGCAGTTGCTAAATAAGTGTAACTTCTTTATTTCCTTAGCTTCAGTGACTTTATCTTGAAAACTTAGAGGTTTAAACCAGATAGCTCTAATATCCAGCTTCGGTCTGATGTCTCCAAGAATAAAAGATGGGGTCTTCATTTGACTTCTGTCTCAATTTTTAGCACTGATGAATCTGGCCTAGGTCTAGATAGCAATCCTAGTATTTGAGGCTCACTCTTCATTCTAAAACTCTCTCTGCCCTATGAAATTGACTTTGCCCCAGTCAAGGTGTCTCAAGCTCTAGAATTAATGGTGCTCAGAATCCAAATAACTTCTACTGACAAATAGGAAACTGACTATTTTCTGTGGTCACCCCATATTTAATTTAACTATTTAAAATCTCATATTCCCATCTATAACAGAAGGGGTTGAAATAGCTTCAGAGTTCATTTTTCATTGGCTACTGTGGGTCCTTGCTGTAGCGATAATGGAAATTAAACCTGAGGCACAAATGTGCAGGAAAAAAAGATTTAATTTGAAAGTAAGAGAAAACGGTAAGGGGCTTTACCTTGAGAAGGTGACAAAGATCAAGCCGGCCCCTTAACACAGGAAAGTAAAATAAAACAGGGCAAGGGCTCCAGCCTGAGCGGCTGGAAGGAGCAGCGCTCTAATGCCGAGGCTCAGACCGGCGCAGTGAGGCGGGATGGAGACCCGGGTTACGGGGCTGCGCCGGGCTGCGGTCTGGCTTTGTGGCTCCAGAGGAATTCTCACGGCCCGAGGGGACAGTTCAAGGTGACTGGTTCTGCTCGGGGAGGTGATCTCATCTGGTGGGGTCTCAGAGGCGCGGTTTCTTCTGGGACCCGGGTGACCACAGGCTCAGGACGGAGGATGGAGCCTCCAGGCAGCGCGTCAAGGCGGGGGCGGGATGGACATCCTAGACCTGGACTTCGTGAAAGCTGGTAATGGGATGTCTCTGCACATCTAGAAAATTATCGTAGTTACTCTTGGTGCGTGTGCTCAGGCCGAAGGAGGAGAAGAGGCCAGGTGAACTTAGTGAGAGCTAACCTTGTTCTGCGCTTGCAGACAGATGCCCCCTAAATGACCAGCGCGCCTACAGACAGCACTGAGAAGAGTTTGACCCAGGTTTTATAAAACGAAGATCAAGCTTTGTTTTGCATCCGGTACCTATTAGCCATCTCAGGCCCAAGGGGAGAGTCATGGTTTTCAGTGAAAACTACCTTTAAGTCCCCGACTGCTTTGGATGAAAACACAGATTGTGCTTTTAATAACAACAGCTGAAGGCCCTGGAGTTTGTTTGTCCCCTGTCCCTATGATGCTCTGGGTCACATTGTTTCCAGCAAGTCTGTGTCTCCTTGAAACCTTATTCGTGTGGTAGAGGGAGGGTTTAAAGTGATTCATCACTAAGAGTCACATACTTTCGGGTATATAGTCGTTACAGCATTTCTTCTTTTTCTTTTGTTTTGGTTTTGGTTATTTGAGACAGCGTCTCCCCACGTAGTTCAGGCTGGCCTTCCACTCTCTGTGACCCTCCTCCCTCCGGTCATTTTTCTTTGCGCTAACCATGAACGTGCACCTTTCAGGTTCTGACTGCAGGTAGGGCAATTGCTGGAAGTCCAGCTCCTGGCCTGGGAAATCCCTCCTGCCCCTCCCGGGACAGACTTCGCAGAGGCTGCTCCAGTGCGGAAATGAGTGTAGCAGGTGTAGAGCAGGCCTGTTCCAGAGACAGAGACCTACACCAAAGGGTGACTTCAGCTGAAGAATTCCCTGTTGGCCTTGCTGAACTTCTGTTCTTTCAAATATTTCCACCCGATTTTCTTTCCTTCTCTTCCCCTTCCCCCTGTGTCTGACCGTCCTCAGCTGCCTCTGGCTCCCTTCTCATTTTCCCTCCTAGGTTTTTCTCCTAATAATTTCCCATCTTGGTGACTGCTTCTCAGATAACTGAACTAACATAGAACCTGCACTTGGTGTCATCACGAGCTTACCTTTGCTCGCGGAAGATTTGGCCTGGTGTTAGCACTGCTATAGTTTGAACGTATTCTCTCTAAAATCCAGGTGTGTCAGCCAGTTGACAGCCAGTGCGGTGGTACTAAGAGGTGGGGACTTTGGGAGGTAATTAGGCCACAAGGGCTGCTCACTTGCGAATGGGATTAGGCACCCGTAAAGTGGAACTTCATGGAGTGTTTAGCTCCCTTGCCGTTTTGCCTCTGCCTGGCAAAGGTGCAAAGTCAAGGCCCCATCTTGGAGACAGAGACAGGACTCTCACTAGAAAACAAAATTGTTGGTACCTTCATCTTCGACCTGCCAGACTCCAGAACAGTGAGAATTAGATTTCTGCTCTTGATAAATTACAGCAGAAAAAGACTGTAATAAGCGTCATTTATTGTGACAGTTCAGCTTAAGTGTCAACTGGATTGGCTGGGGAGTCGCTGACAGGGTTAGTGATGTACCTGTGTGTCTGGGTGGATCAAGGAGGAGTGACTGCGGGACTGTATCTGATCGCTCCCCTTCCTCCCTGGAGCTGTTCTCTCCTCTGCTTCCCTGCTATCACAAAGTGCATGGGTTTGCTTCTCGTCCCCTGCTGCCGTGAGTTTATCTGGAGCCAACCGTCCATGGACTGAATCTTCTGAAACCCTGAGGCAGATTAACCTCTTCTTCTCTAGGTTGCAGGTGTTGGGTGTTTTGTATCAGCCGTGGAAAAGCTGACAATTCATACATCTGCAAACGTGCAGATTCTATTTTCCGTAGCAAAGGCATCTGCCCATTTACTTTGGCTTTAAAATTTCGCCCTAAATTACAAGAAAATACATAATATGTATAGAAAATATATGTATATAAAATAAAATGAAATTGCCCATAATCCCAACTCCCATATAACTATCACTTTCTGGTCTTTCTACAAAAAACAACTCTTTTACAGCAACAGCAAAAGTAGAGGAGTTAGCAAATTTTTTAAGGGGACAGATTAGTAAATATTTTTAACTTTATTCACCAGAAAGATCCTCTTGCACTTTTTCAGCTACGCCTGGTTGAGACCAGCCATAGCCAGCATGTAAAGGAGAAGCTGTGTTCCCACTAAAACACAGATGGTAGCCTGAGTTTGGCCATGTGTTTATTGATCCAAGTTTGAGTAAAAGAAAAAAGATCTTGTTAAAAGACCTAATCTGTGGCTCAGGGAGAATGTTCAGATCCTATTTAAAATGACTCAGTGGTTCTTGTACTTTGCAAAGTGTCAGCTGGAGCAGAAAGTCCTAGCTGTATCCCTGCAAAACCCACTTGCTCCCCTCTAGTGGAGGATCTTAGGCCACAAGGGACGTGCCCTAGAATGTGCGAGAATCCATGTTTGTGTGGAACTTTTCCCAGAAGAGCTAAAGTGAGTAGTCAGCAAGCACACAACTATGCTGTGGTCTTTTGCTATTGTCAGGCATGAGTTAAGTAGGTTGTAAACCCTTCCTAATGTGATTTTTTCCATTTAATTTTGTGGCTGCATAAACTTTCATACCAAATAATGAGTTGGGGCTGTAGCCCAAATGTTATGGACTCTGTGTGTATCTGGAGAGCCTGTGGAGTACAGCCCAGCATTCTAATGGCCTGCTTAGCTGTGTGCTGGCTGGGCAGAGCAAGCTTGTTTTGGCTTGAAGAGGGATTCTGCAGAAATTGAGGGGAACTCACCAGAGAGCTCTTTGGCCTCGCTGCCCCCCTTCCCTCTCAGTGGAAGCATTTTTCCCCAAGACTTGACAGCTGTTCCTCTTGGGTCCGAGAGAATGTGTCCCTCAGGTAGAATTCTGACCGTGCCTGTCTCGATTTGAGTGGTGAAGAAAGATTCTTACCTGGGAGCCCTGTTTTCAGCGTCCATGCTTGCGCTTCTGTTTGTCCACAGAAATGAACATTGACTACCTCTTCTCCAGCCCATCTGCCCTGATGGCACTGTGCCCGGGTCCTGGCAGAGCGCGGGTGCTGCAGAGGGCTGGAGGTGCAGTGCTGGGAGCAGTGGCTGGAGGGAGGGAGCAGGAAAGGAGCGGGCGCAGGGAGAAGAGAGGCAGAAAGGCACATTTTCTTGCACTTCCCTGAGTCTCAGGCCCTTGGCCCTGTGTCAGCAGACCCTGCCGTAGTCCTCTGGGAGTCGAGTCTTGAGATGACCTGCGCATGAGAGTGCACTGTGCCTGGGGGACAGGGGATGTTGGAACCTGGCTCCAGTGCCCTCCCCAGCCATAAACTTCAAGGAGTCAACACTCAAGGTAAAAAAGTGCAGAGGGAAGAGCAGATTATAAAATGCTAATGCGTAGTGTCACCCCGCAGTAGCTCTGTACTGGTATTTCTGGCAATGGGCAGTGTGACTATCGACAGTTCTTATTTTTTATCTGCTTTTATGTTTTTCCACAACAGATGTATGGATGACAACAACAAAAGCCAAGAGAATTTGCCACAGAGCATTAGGTATAAGAAAAGACTTTCATGGAGGACTTCGCCTCTGGCCAAGGAAGAATTTCTAAGCCTTCTGTAAAATGTCAATCAACTGGCGCTGGTGAAGTTCAATCCATGACTCCAGGATACTAAAGAAAGTGCCCGGAAGCAAAGGGGGTGTGCAAGGTCAGCTCCACAGGCAGTGCGTGGAGGGGAGTAGGAGGAGCTCAGCTTCGGAGGAGACTCAGTGGGTGGGGGGTCTTGTTACTCTCCCCATCTCCATCCCCAACCTTCCCCAGAAGGGTGGACTGCTCCTTCTCTGACTCAGCTGAAATCTTTTGTAGGTTGCCTTATGGATAATTTTCCCTTGTAGGTGGGATTCATCGATATAGTCCAGTTCCTCTCTGCAGAAGGTCCATGGCTCTGGGAGGGAAGGAATCACCTCCTCAGTAGTAGAAGAGAACCTGGTGGATGGTGCATGCTTAAAATAAATCTCTCCATTCCTCCAGCCAGAAATTTTTGTCTCGTCACTGCTTAGTTTATCATGTTGTTTTGTAGTAATATATAGACAACAGAAAATTAACATTAGCCATTTCAGGTGTACTGCTCAGTAGTGTTAAAAGCTTTCACACTGTGCAATCATCTTCACCATCCATTGCATGGTTTTTCGTATTCCCAAACCGATACTCCACACCCATGGACAATGAGCTCCATTCCTCCTTCCCCCAGCCGCAAGCAGCAGCTGTTTTGCTTTGTCTCTATGAATTTGCTCATTCTTAGTGTCTTGCACAAGTGTGATATGTGTCTTTTGTGACTGGGTTATTTCACTCAGAACAGTGTCTGCGAGGTTCATCTGCGTTGCAGATTTTTCTCCTGCTTCCACTCAGTCCCTGCTCTCATGGCCTAACCCCATTCTAGGTACAATGGGACATCTGGGCATAAGATGAAGCTCTTCCTGTAAGATGTATGGGAGGATATGTCAAAATTTCCTGTCTTTGTAAGACTTATCAGTGTTTCATTGCATGTTTTAACATGTTTTATTTATCCATTCATCTTTCAATGGCGACTTGGGTGGTTTTCACCTTTTGAGTATTGTGGATCAGGCTACAGATGAACGTGGGTGTACAGATATTTGCTTGAGCCCTGCTATCAGTTCTTTTGGGTATACACTCAGAAATAAAATTGGTCAGAAAACTACTTTGTAAGTATGGATGTAGGCTGGCGTGAAGTGAAAGTAAGAGAAAATGGTGTCACAACTATAGGAGTTCATAGGTCAGGTATCACTGGAGAACTAAGTGCCACAAATTTATCTAAAGCATCAGAACCTTTCTGGGGGGCTGGGATCAGAACCTGTACCCCCAGATGATCCTGATGACCAGCTAGGCCTGGAGAATACAAACGTCCACAATTTTCAAGCCCTTTTCCCATTATAATTGATAGAACCGTGTTATCCCTCCTAGCCAAAATGCTTCTGTGACATCTTTGGACGTTTTCCATGTAGATGGGAAATAATTTCAGGAATTTCAAGAGTGGCTCACTATCTAATTCTCACAGGAGGATTTTAGGTGGCAAATAAAATTATACCTACTAAAGAGCAATTTTTTGTCCATGAGTGAAGCAAAAGTTCTGAAACAACACCTTAGCACCTTGGTATGTCATTGTCCTTACCGTGAGCCTTTGTTCTTGATTTTGTCAGTGTTCAATATAGATCTATAGTAATACTCACAACCACTATTGTACCAAAGAGTGTTCATGGCACTTTTGTGGATATGTTGCATTTAATCACCCTGCCAATTTGTGTGTGTGGGGGTAGTTACTGGGGTTGAACCTAGGGAACACAGCTACTTTTCAATTTTGAAACCAAGTTGCTGAAGCTGGCCTCAAATTTGCAATGCTCCTGCCTCAGCTTTCTCAGTAGTTGAGATTACAGGCATGCACCTCCATGTCTACATCCCCAAAATCTTTCATGGCATGTCCTCCACTTCCATTTTACAATGAAGGACACTGAGGTCTTACACATTCTGCCTGAAGTTATGTGGTAACCCATATGTCTCTCTGTCTATATGCAATAAAATTCCAGAAATTTAGGATCTTGAAGGAAGTCCAATCCGATAGTGGCTACACGCACATCAGTCCATGTCCCCTGGTTCCCACTGTACTGCACACAGAGCTTCATTCTCTTGAAATTCTTTCATGTTTCCTCCCAGCTGGGCTATGAGCTTCTCACTGGTAGGCTTCACCTTCTGACTCATTCTCCTACTGCGCCTAGGCTGGGGCCAAGCATACAATAGAGGGTGACTGAGTGGGTGGGACAGGCTACAATGATGAAAGAAGGAAACATCTGCCACACAGAAACACCCAGTACAAGCTGTACCTACAAATGCAGGGGGAAGAGTTGTTTCTATTTGCCATCTCTATGGTAGGCAAAGGTATATGAGATTTAGAACTAAAAAGATTTAGATTTTAATCCCGTTTCACTGCTTATTATTTTGAGTCTGTAGGCAAATTATTAGATTCTTAGCCCCACTTTCCTTATCTGTAAAATGAAGAGATTAATAACTACTTAGAAAGAGGAAGTAAAAGCACCAGGAATAGAGCCTGATGTATTAGGTACAGTAAATATTAGACTTCTGTAGCCACCCTCGTTGGAGAGGGAACACCGCCCTTGAGAAAGGTGTTTCTCTGGCAGGAGGGGCTGCATTGCACTAGCAGTTGAGGCTACTAGAGGTTAGATTTAGGGTCAAGCTTTTGGCCTAGAAAAGGTGTCTATTTATATCAGCTCAAGAAGTGTTGGGAGCAGCTGGAGCTGGAAATTGGTTGCATATGTGGAGCAAAGACAAGGCCAGAGTGCCTAAAGCAGTCAACTACCTCAGTCTTGAGAAAAGCATCCTGCCTGGACAATGTCAGTCATTAGTTGCTAGGCAACCTTGTGTCTCGTGATACCAACTTTGCAAGAGTATCGGTAAACGCCCCTACTGTGTTTTCAGTCCTCTTACCCATCAGGTAGAGAGGCCTCCACCTGAGCCCAGCTTTTGTCTCTTGTCTTTATTTTCCAAATCCCCTCACCATTTTCTCCTGGGGACCACTGAGAGACCACCAGGTCCCTACAAAGAAGAGTCTAATTGTTCACCCATGTTGAAAGCTGCATTATTCCTAACAGCCAAGAGATGAAAGGAACCCAAATATCCATGGATGGATGGAGAAACAAAGTGTGGTATACACATACGATGGAATGCCATGTTGCCTTGAAAAGGTTGGAAATCTGGACACATGCTATAACATGGGTGGGCCTTGGGAACGACATGCTAAGTGAAGTAAGCCAGGCGCATAAAGACAAATACCACGTGACTCCACTTGTGTGAGGTACCCCATAGAAACAGAAAGAGTGGTGGTTGCAGAGTGTTTCAAGATCAGAAAGTTCTGGGAATTGGTTGTACAACAATGTGAATATACTTAATGCCGCAGGAGTATACGCTGGAAATGTATAGTGGCATGTTTTATGTTATATATATTTTACCACAATTAAAAATGAAAAGTAGAATCCAGGAGTTATGGTTTTTATTTTATTACACTTGCACATCAAGCCATGACATCATTTTCTGAGTCCAACCTAGAATCTAAAGCCATTTCTTTGGAGACAGAAGTCTGTGTATGCTGCAACAGGTGGGAAAGAGCTTCATAATTTTTAGATTAGAAGACTTTCTTTACTAATGTCATCCTAATTATCATGTAGACTTAGCATTGAACTGTAATTATTATCAGCTAAGTAGACCTCAAAATGCATCTTTGATAATACCTCTGGCATTTAATTATGTAACTGGTGAGTTACGAATGTTATTAGGGGGATGTATGACTGTAGTATAGCGTAATTAGATCTCATTTTTGTTTCTTCATCTCCTCTTGATTGTGGTAATAGTTTTGTAGTTTTTATAAGTTATTTGGAAACGGTCACATTAAATTGATTCTATAAAATAAACACATTTGAACAGATATTTTGAAAGCATGTTAAAAAGAGTGGCCACAAGAAAAGGAAAAACGGTTGGCAAACCTTGAGCCATTTAACAGAAGTTCATAATAAATAAATTTCCCACTTTCAAGGTCTTTTTTTGTTATTTAAAAACAAATTTGATAACATGTCACAAAAAATTAATTCCTGCTGTTTGAAAATGAAGAAAAACAGCTACCAATTTCTGTTATTGTGAAAGTAACAAATATGTTTGCCAAAACTTGCACACATCCATAGCGCGTTAGCACACACTTGGGTAATGTGCAGCGGGTCCTCTGTTAATGAAGAATCTCTTTTCAGAGTGACGCAGTTCATTTCCTTAAGGCGCAGATAGAAACCAGCCTATCTAGTAGTACTGGCTATAAATTCTATGTCCCTTGAGGGTAAAGCTCTGTCCCTTTTGTGTCTCCACGTCGTTTACAATTCGTAAAGATCGGGCCGCACTGGCTGCGTATTTAATGAATATTCATTGCGCGCTGAGGTAGAGTGCTGGGGAGAAATTAAAGAAACTCCTCTCTGTGCACTTTCTCTCTGAAATGGGGACGATCAGGCACACTTCGAGGGAGCAAGCTGGGAGTCCGCTGTGGGATGTCTGCTGGATCGGGGGCTGTGTGTCTGCAGAGCAGACCGGTGCCAAGGGATAAAGGTACGCAGCAGGGAAAGAAACTCTGGCAGCGGGTCGGTGCGACAATGAGCTGCACAAAATAAATACCAGACTTTGAATTTGCGCAACTAACCTAAGATGGATAGACGGACTCGTTCATGCAGTTTTAACTCCATGTCCTAGTCTGTCACAAAAATGTGATAAATTGGCTGAAATTTTGGGCACTATCTGAAGTATAACACAGATGAGATAGCTTATTGCTCAAAGCCACAAAGAGTGAAAGAAATCATTGTCTAAAAGCACAGAAGCGCCGTGCACCCATCATTACCTCTAAGTTTGCGTAAACACAATTCTCACTTTTCATCTGAGGTTAAATGAGAAGATATTAAAAACATATTTTGATAACATAGCACCGCTATTGGCAGACGAGCAACCACTCTGACGGTTCCTTGCTAAGTGACAGTTCACTGCTTATGTACAATTTAAGGGAGCCAGGGAGAAAACACTTCACCTCTTTTCTTTTTTTAATATGATTTTTCTTGTCAAATACACACAGCTTTGATTTGAGTATTTGTGTAGACGAAATTTGCATTTTCTTTCTTTCCCTGAAACGAGTGATCCCTGTGTAGGGTGACAGTAGTATGCCCGCTCGGAGACCCGTGTGGAGGCCAGGGGAGAAAAATGGCCAAGAAGCAGCAATCCTAGCTGAGTGAGCTCGCAAGCAATGGCCTCCCTCTGAAACAGGGCGGCTAGTGTTTTCGGTGGAAGTATAAGGAAAAAATATTGGAAAGCATACGGTTAGTTGGTACTTAAGAAACAGTAGCTAATTTTCCTCTTAACGTTGTAAGGGACTGAGCTGCAAATTGTAATATCACTGAAAAGAGAAGCCAACCCAGTGATCCATAAGAGCAAAGTAGAAGTCAGACCAGAGAGTCCCAACCCCGGAATCTATAGCTGTGTGAGTGATCGTTTCCTCAGCTGGCTCCTAAGTGGCTTTGGTGAAAGCCCCTGCACCTGGGCTCTGGTCGTGTCTTCTGTGGGTTGTGTGACCTCGACAAGTCTCTTAAATTTAAAGCAGAGAGACTGAATCAGTGCCTCAGTTCCTTCCAGAACTATGGTAATGGAGGCCCCGGGAATATGGAGACTGAGGTTCACAGTAGAAACAAATGTGGAACACCACCCTCTGAGCCTGTCTCCTTCTGTAAAATCATAGGAAAATCTGCATCTGGGTAGCTGTTGAGGAAACAGGACGTTCATGGTGGTGCAGGCCTGTAATCTCAGCACACAGGAGGCTGAGGCAGGAGGATGGCAAATTCAAGTGTGGCATGGACTCTATAATGAAAGTTTGTCTCAAAAAATAAAATGCAAATTAGCCAGATTTAGATTTAAATATGACCTCCCACTTCCAGTTCTGTTGTAATCTAAGACTCAGTTTCCTCACCTGTACGTTGGGGCTAGTAACAATACTTACATCAGCATTATTTCAGGACTTACATTAGATGACATTTGTGACATACTTTGTGGCACAAAATAAATGCTTAATAAACTGAGATTAAAGTGGTATTTCAGACGGACCACATCCTTTTCTTTTAGATGAAGAAAATGAGGCTTAGGGAGTTAAGTAGCTCATCTATGCTGCTACACCAAAGAGAGAACAGACCCTTGGTCTCCTGGCACTCCAGGACTCTCTTCTGAGGTTAGTAGTTAAGATTACTGCACTATAGCCACCAATGTACTATGTTTATTAAATTAACTGTATATTTGAGAAACTTTTCTACCTGTAATGTCTAGTATCTGTAATATCAATGATAAATAAGAAGTAAAACTGCTTTAGATGGTATTTAATAGTTTACCCAGGAGGAAGTAATAGAAATAAATTGCCATTGTACTATTTTCCTCTTACAAAATCGGGCTTTGCCCCCTGGTGCTGATGGGAGAAAATTGCATTCTGTACAAGTTGTGTCAGCTCTGAGTTTGAGTCAAATGTTGGTAGGAATTGAATATGCACCTCTGCAAACCGAACATCCACGCGCACTGTCTGGGTAGGAGTGGCATGACAGCGCAGAGACGGTACCAAATGGACAGCAGAATGACTTGACCGTTCAACAGGAAGTAATCTATTTCTGAGAAGCCATCACAGGCAATTCGGTACAATTGAACTTCATCTTTAACCTTTTCCTATGATTTGTGTGATTAGGCCACCGAAGGAAGCGGTTTTCAACAGCATGATTAAAACACTTGGAGGAAATAATTTCTGTTTTCAAGCACCTGGCATACTTTTTTCCACTGAGTGTTTGTCCTTTCTCATCAAAAGAAGAGCCAGGAAATGGAAAAATGTTGACTTTAAACATAGTCTTAGACAGAAATAAAAGATCAGAATACAGAGTCAGTGTTGAGGTCAGGAGGCTGGTCCGTAGCCAACCTGTACAAGGTCGTTTTCTGCCTGATGAGCACCGTGGCTGGGCACTGTAGTTCAGCATTTTAAAAAGTTAAATTTTGGAAAGAAAGAACTTATATTAAAAAAATAGCACATGCTACTACCTACTAGGAAATAATTTTATTTTAAAAAGATATTTTAGTGCCGGAAAAGTGGGAAGGGCTTAACTTTGTAATGAAGGACAACTTTATCCAACAAAAGACAATAGTGGCATCAATCTTTGGTTTTCTTGCTTTGCCAGGAATCAAAGTTGGATGGGATTCAGAGTTCCTATTGGAGTAATCTGCTCAAATCCAATTCAGACTAATTTAGGCCAAAAATACTCTATTATGTTTTTGTTTGTCAAATTATATCCAGAGGCTCCCAAAGTCTTCAAAATCAGTGCACTTTATAGACAATGTATATTGTGCCACTTATGATAGGTGACACTGTACATACTGTAGGGGAAAAGTTATGAAAATTACGCTGAATGTAAAGAGATTTGCAAATTTGAAGATTCCCAGTCATCATGCTGAACTCTGCCTGCTCATGCTACATCTTCAGTTTTTTGAGACAGGATCTTGTTAATAAGTTGCCCAGGCTGGCCTTGAACTTTTGATACTCTTGCCTCGGCCTACTGAGTAGCTGGGGTTACAGGTGAACATCTGCTATTTTGTGTAAAGAAACAGGATCCTGTGCTACTGAAGATGAAAAGAAGAGAATGTTCTTTCTAGAGTGAGTAGGCTGTGGGTGACCTATCCCAGGTCACTGCTCCCTGAACAGTGATTAACATTTACAGTGTATGCAAACTAGACTCCTAATTAAAGTCCAATAATGTAAGACTTTGAACCTATTCACTGCCTTTGGAAATAGTCATGGATGCCTGCTGCTTATCATGAAAAAGTCATTATGGCAAACGACCAACTCCTCCACCTTCTCTTTTCCATCACTTGCAAAAGCGATTCTCCATCGCAAAGATTTGCAAATGGTGCATGTTGTAGAGTCAAATGTCTCCTGGTGGCTGTAATTGTTATGCAACTTGTCTTGATTACAGGAAGAATAAAACTTATAGAGTTCTTGTCATAGGTGAATTTTTAAGCTATGGGAAGGTGGACATGGCTCTGAGGGGTCATCCAGAACTCATAATGGCAATTTTGGACATGGCAGTGATAAAGGGGGAGGGGCTCCCCCATCCCTTCTCTCCTCCTTCCTTTGCTTTGCTGCCTGGGAGAGTGGGCACGAAACAGAGCGAATCAGGAAAAAGTCCCAAAAACCCAGGTGTGTGCCTCTAGTCTCAGATAGCCAGGAGGCTGAGGTAGGAGAATCCCTTGAGGCCGGGGGGAACATAGCGAGCCCCATTTGGAAATAAAAGAGACAATGAAGAGGTCAGAGGGTGGACATATTCAGGAACTAGATGTTAGTTGCAGATTGAAAAATTAAAGTCAAATTAATTAAAGTGAAGAGAGAACCCAGATAACAAAGCCTCAACAGAGAAAAAGGGGTGTGAGAACTGAC